TACATGTTAATAACTTGATTGGAATTATAACCTTGAATTGACAGTTTGATACTTTGAAAATTTTGAGCCAGCCCTACCCCCAAGGGCTGTAGGGTGGGGCTCAAAGGAGTCAGTGTGCTAAAATTTCTTCATTTTCCTTGTTAAGAATCAGAGGTGCTAGTTTCAAATCCTTTTTAGTCTGAAATCTGTATGCTAGATATTGAGTAAGGTGGTTTTATTGTTTTTTGTCACTTTGAATAATATTTCTGTTCATGTTAAAAACAAAATCAACTCTCTGTATAAATATATCAGGTGACCGTTAAGGCCCATGGGCCTCTTGTTTTATAACGTCACGCTCCTGACAAATAAATGATGACAATAAAACGAGGTTTTACTCTACATGATAGCTCATTAGTTTGTGGCGATAGCTCTATACAGGTTAACGGGTTTCCTTTTCAGAAACATGATTACCTTTGATTGGTTTTCAAAAACCTACTTACCTTTGATTGGTTTTCAGAAACCTACTTACCTTTGATTGGTTGTCTAAAACATACTTACTTCTGATTGGTTTTCAGAAACATAATTACCTTTGATTGACTTTCTGAAATATAATTAACTTTGATTGGTTGTCAGAAACATACTTACCTTTGATTGGTCTTCTGAAACATACTTACCTTTGATTGGTTTTCTGAAACATACTCACCTTTGATTGGTTGTCAGAAACATAATTTTGATTGGTTGACAGAAACATGCTTACCTTTGATTGGTTGTCAGAAACATGCTTACCTTTGATTGGTTGTCTGAAGCATACTAACCTCTTATTGACTTTCAGAAATTATGTTACCTTTGATTGGTTGTCAGAAACATTCTTACCTCTGATTGGTTGTCTAAAACAAACTTACCTTTGATTGGTTTTCTGAAACATACTTACCTTTGATTGGTTTTCTGAAACATACTCACCTTTGATTGGTTGTCTGAAACATACTCACCTTTGATTGGTTGTCAGAAACACACTTACCTTTGATTGGTTGTCTGAAACATACTAACCTCTTATTGACTTTCAGAAATAATCTTACCTTTAATTGGTTGTCAGAACATACATACCTTTGAGTGGTTGTCAGAAACAGACTTATCTTTGATTGGTTGTCAGAAACATACTTACCTTTGATTTGTTGTCTGAAACATACTTACCTTTAATTTGTTTTTTTCTGAAACATTCTTACCTCTGATTGGTTTTCAGAAATATAAATATTGGTTATCCATACTAGTTTTGATGTATGAGTTACTTTTGAACAATAATCAACTGGTTGACTTTTCAACAAGATACATATTTAATCAAGTTAACGAAAACATAAGTTATAGACAGACAGTACAATATATAACAGTCATTACTATATTTACTCACACTGTGCTATAGGTTAATACTTGGTATTCGTAAACATGCTATTTGGTTAAACCAACAGGTGTGTGATTCCTAGACAAACTAACATGCCTACTTATCCCATTCTCTTTCCCTTTCAGAGAGGTGGACGAAGACCGTGGAGAGGTACGATTATATTAGTGTTGTAACTTTGTTACCGAACCGTAACAACTTACCTTAATCTTCCTTGTTATAACATGCCTATGAGCCCAAAGGCTTAAAAGCTAATAAAACAATACAATAACATGCATATTCTTACAGATAATGACAATTAAAACCAGTATTCCTTCTACTGCTGTTCTACTACTACAAGTTATTGTATATTTTGTTTTATTCAATTATATCTGTTTTGAATCTCCTGTCATCATTTCTAGATTTCTTGGAGAGTTTAATCTTTGCATAGTTCTTTGATTTTAAGATTTCGCATGTGTAACTAGTATTACCATGTGTAATTAGTATTACCATGTGTAATTAGTGTTACCATGTGTAATTTGTATTACAATGTGTAATTAGTATTACCATGTGTAATTAGTATTACTTCATGTACCATGTGTAATTAGTATTACCATGTATAATTAGTATTACTACCATGTGTAATTAGTATTACTACCATGTGTAATTAGTATTACCATGTGTAATTAATATTACTACCATGTGTAATTAGTATTACCATGTGTTATTAGTATTACCATGTGTAATTAATATTACCATGTGTAATTAATATTACCACCATGTGTAATTAGTATTACCATGTGTTATTAGTATTACCATGTGTAATTAATATTACCATGTGTAATTAGTATTACCTTGTGTAATTAGTATTACCATGTGTAATTAGTATTACCATGTGAATTAGTTTTACGATGTGTAATTAATATTACCATGTGTAATTAGTATTACCATGTGTAATTAGTATTACCATGTGCAATTATTATTACCATGTGTAATTAGTATTACTACCATGTGTAATTAGTATTACTACCATATGTAATTAGTATTACCATGTGTAATTAGTATTACCATGTGTAACTAGTATTACCATGTGTAATTAGTATTACCATGTGGTGTTGCTCACTTCAATACTATAGAACGAGTGAAAGGATTTATTTGATCACACTATATATTTTCTCTCCAGGCGAGACAGACCCGTGGTGTTCCGGCCCAAAGAAAACGACCAGCGTCTCCCATCCGACAGGAGCCTGTGGTGATGAGGAATCGGTCCCCTTCCCGTTCTCGATCCCGAAGTCCTCCTGTAGCGATCTACCAGGATCTAAGGATGTCGACACGACCCCCAGCTAGTCCACCTCGGAAGGAGGAACAGGAGAGCAGTTCTGAGTTCGGAATATTTCAGCCATCAGCAGGGCCAAAATCAGGGGACGTAACTTTCGTCCCAAAGGAATACAAACCACAGGAGAGGAATCCAAGTCCGGAGCCTGAAGATTACAGGTATGCTACCGTCATTAAACCACAACCTGTGAAAGCTCTACCGAAGGACGAATGGGGGGAGCCAGACCAGGATATGGGTCCTCCGTCCCAAAACATCGGCATGTCCATGTCGGAAAGACTACAAGGCATCGTTGAAGACGGGTGGGGAAACAGTCCTCTAATAGACTATGGTCAGCGTGACTCGTCTGAGGTGCCTGCACAAGACATTTCGCGGACTAAAAGCGACGAGAGTGATCTCTGGAAATCAAGGAGAGAGGACAATGAAGACGCTCTTCGGCAACCAAGTCAACAAGCTGAAAATATATACGCACGAAGTGTGAAGAGAGCTGACACAGACCGACCTCCTTCACCGCCTCTGGACATCCCCAGTGCCGTGGGTTCCCCGAGACAATCCTTCATACGAGACTACCCCAGCAGTGAGTCACAGTCGCCCGACAGACCTGTGACCCCACCCTTCGACGGTATTACACCGAGACCGTCCCTAAAGTCGAGGTCGGAATCGCCTCCACAACCGAGTGCTTCATCCAATCCATTGTCACAATCACAGAGCCAAAAGGTCCATAGGTCCATGTTTTCTAACGACGTACTGAAGGAGCTGAAGCAGCGTCAGAAGTCGACAGAGGATTTAGTAGAAGATGATGATTCACAATCCAGATCAGTTAACTTTTCACCGTCACCCCCTACTATAATATCCGGGTACACCATAGATCCTCCAGCCCAGTTTACTGGTATACCTGCCCCTCCCCCTCCTCCTCCTCCTCCTCCTCCCCCTCCCCCTGTACCCAAATAATAGTCAACTACATTTTTATTAGACGTTCCTTATAAGGGATTCTGACTGGCTTAGACTAAGACATGAATACCTGTAGCCTACGCAGGTGGTCATCATGTACACACCATATTGACATTGAAACCTGCTTTCCTATGAAGCTCCATCTGTTTGCTGTGTTCATCATTTATATATACCACGGTATACATAATACCGACTTAATCATCTGCCTTTGATAAGGTGTCTCCTTCAAGAAACGTTTTTGGTTTTTCATGTTTTTGACAATGTTCCACAGATGGAGCTGAGGGAGGTTGCGACCGACATCAATATATTACATACTAAGTATGGAAATAATGGAACCTGTCTAATCCGGTAGTCTGTAGGATCTAAATAAACCTGTCTAATCCGACAGCATACAGGACCTACAGTTAAGGATGTACTCTTCTGAGGTTTCCATCACGTTCAAGTCTCGTTTTGATCTTGTGTAACGGGTTTTTGTAATATTTAACAAACTATGATCAAGTTTATTAGCAAACACGCATCTGAAAAATATGTCAAAATAATAGATGCCTGTTGTTAGTAGAACTTTTTTTACAAGAAATTAATAATGAATAATACCAATTCGGCGGCCATTTTGAAAATGTGTATTAATGTGTATTTCTTTGGCTGTAAAAAAGGCAGAAATTCACCTTTTTTGACACTAGATTGATCACCTAAGTTGTCATTGTGTCGCCATTTTTAATTATAGCAGGTTCAATTTTGCTGTTCAACTTTATAATGTTTAATATGATAAAAATAATATGCAACAAACTGGAAAATTATACATTATTGATACTTTTTTTTACATATTTAGTGTAACTGAAGCACTTTTGATTTTTGACCCCGAAAAAGGTAAAAAATAACACAAATAATAATGGGACAAAAAAAGAAGCACACGACCCCCCATTTTTGTGGATGTTTTAGAAAGAGAAACACGTTTTCTTTTAATTCATTAAATAACAAAAAAAGTTTAATAGCATAACTTTTTTATCAAGCGTTTAATCTGCAAAAAATGGTAAAAAATGAGTATATTTTCATTAAAAAATAGGGGGTAGGGGTAACTAAAATCAGCTTTCTGAGTTAAAAGAATAAGATTAAGAAATTTTACTTCCACAATTTAAAAGAAAATAATATTTTCATCAATTCTACAAACATTCATACATATCTGATAACACACTTGGAAGAAATTGTATGAATTTGTTCTGCAAATGGTCAAACCCCAAAAAATCACCTAAAATCACATGTTGTGTTAAATTGGTATCTTTGACCAACCATAGCACAAAAACGAACACACCGACATATAGTTTTTTTTGCATTTTCTACTATGCCATTAACTCCTTTTTCCAAAAATCCATATAAGAAAAAAAGTTTAATACAGGAAATTTTTGACTTCTCAGAGGTGTACATCCTTAAACTGTGTTATCCTATATTACAAATTGATTTCGTTATACATGGTCTCAGAGCACACATATTTGATTTGGTCGTTATTTATTCGACAGAATGTACAATGACTGGATTACACAGGTTCCCCGTATAAGTACATTAGTAGTGCCCTGTGTCATTGTCTGTTTGACGGACTAGGGCTGTTCCTCAATCATAGTTCTATATAATGTATAAAATGTGTGATGACCTATTGTAGATACATTAGTGAGTGTTATAACTAGGAGAATGTGGCAATCATACGTGTGTGCTGTTTACTGTGTACAGTACTGCTTATCGTCCTTTCCCGAAATTACAAATGATTGTGAGATGTAAGTTTTATATAAATACAAGTGAATCGGTGGAAGTGAGTGAATGAGATGTGAGATTTTATTACACAGAATTTATATGCAATATATGTGTAATATGTGTATTCAAACACTAACGTTGTCTCCAAACTTACCACAGACTTTAAAAGTTTGTCGTGATGTCATGTTTAATATTCTTCCAAACTGTACGCTTTATATTCCGTGTTCAGACTTGGAACCAATTTAAATCAAAAATGAGTTACACCTACATTTCTATTTTACAAATTTACACAGGCCAGATTGTTAGAGTCTGGGAAAGGACATTTAAAGTAAAAAAACACACCATATCTCTCATTCTCGTAACATTACAAGCTTTGCAACTCCTCAAGTTTTATGTGGCCATTTGCTATTTAGGAATCATGATTACATAGTATATTGAGGTATCTACGGAGATAAAATGCCCTGGGTATAACAGTAGGTTCTCAGCTATGTCTGTATTTATATTTTTATACAAGAACAATAACATTAGAAGCATTTTGTTCATTTTAGTAATGAGTGCTGAGCCAATGATATAACATTTCTTAGGGTATAAATGACGTATTCTTATGTACATAATGTCTCGTCTGTGACAGAATAATGCATAATTAAATGAAGTTACCGCATGTTACACATTTACAATAAATCTGTACAGATCTGGCATTGTTTATAAACTCGATGTACTGTGGTTGTAAAGTTTTCTGTATTGTCTGATGATTTAACAGACAACCATGTCATGTAAACAACTGATATGTAACATTATTGATTGAAAACATTCTTCAATCGCCGCGTTCAAACAGAATTTGTACCACTTGTCCTAAAATCCCGTATTAGAAATATCATGATATATTCCTGTAATCTGTTCTTTGCTGACAACATAAACAGTTCATAGCAGAGCAAGCCAAACTGACTTCAAATAATAAGAGTTACAGAATACCCGCGAGTAAAGGTCGAGGTTTGTGTGGCCATGTAATGGCCGATACAGAGATGTCTTCCGTTCTGTTGTCGTCAGTGGTACGTAACGTGTCGTCAGTGGTACGTTAGTTAACGTGTCGGGAACACTTTCCATACGAGTGATGAGAGTGCTCAGATACTTGTCATGTGACTGTTCAATGAAAACATTATTTACCATATGTTGATCATAATCATATAATATAATAAACCATATTTTTAGAATATAAACATTGATTGGTGTTAGTTTTGTTTACAGTTACCAGGTGAATTAACATTACTGTCACTACTGGTGGAAGTGTGCGTCAAAGTGATGCTAGAGCAATATGAGGTGATACTAGAGTTATCGCCCTGTATAGGGCAAATCATTATTACCAGTCACATATTACCTAAACCTACGGAGTAAGGAAACCCATATATAATTATTTTGTCAATGTTTGAAGGCAATTAAAGCAAACACTTTACTGCAAAATATGGTTATCTCGTCCATTTAGGAATCGTCAGTGATATTAAATGATACATATGTACAAGTCAAAAGGTGACTTAGACATGTGGAGAGATAATGAGAAAGGGGAAGGTGCCATCCAGCCGCTTATAACAATACAAAATAAGTAAAGGGGAAAGTGCCTTCCAGCCGCTTATAACGATACAAAACAAGTAAAGGGGAAGGTGCCTTCCAGACGCTTATAACGATACAAAACAAGTAAAGGGGAAGGTGCCTTCCAGCCGCTTATAGCAATACAAAACAAGTAAAGGGGGAGGTGCCTTCCAGCCGCTTACAATAATACAAAACAAGTAAAGGGGGAGGTGCCTTCCAGCCGCTTACAATAATACAAAACAAGTAAAGGGGAAGGTGCCTTCCAGCCGCTTATAATGGTACAAAACAAATAAAGGGGGAGGTGCCTTCCAGCCGCTTACAATAATACAAAACAAGTAAGGGGGAAGGTGCCTTCCAGCTGCTTATAATGGTACAAAACAAATAAAGGGGGAGGGGCCTTCCAGCCGCTTACAACAATACAAAACAAGTAAAACAAGTAAAAGGGAAAGGGCCTTCCATCCGCTCACAATAATAGAAAACAAGTAAAGGGGAATGTGCCTTCCAGCCGCGTATAATGATACAAAGCAAGAAAAGAGGAAGGCGCCTTCCAGTCGCTTCTAATGATACAAAACAAGCAAAGGGGAAGATGCCTTCCAGCCGCTTATGAGGGGACAAAACAAGTAAAGGGGGAGGTGCCTTCCAGCCGCTTATAACAATACAAAAAAAGTAAAGGGGAAGGTGCCTTCCAGTCGCTTATAACAATACAAAACAAGTAAAAGGGAAGGTGCCTTCCAGCTGCTTATAACGATACAAAACAAGTAAAGGGTAAGGTGCCTTCCAGCCGCGTATAATGATACAAAGCAAGTAAAGAGGAAGGCGCCTTCCAGTCGCTTATAATGATACAAAACAAGCAAAGGGGAAGATGCCTTCCAGCCGCTTACAATAATACAAAACAAG